AGTTACAAATAGCTTGACGAATGATAATCGAAAATTATGTCGCATTAGCTGATTCCGGCACATCATCACCCGGATTTTGCGGACCAATCGGTCCTGGACACCTTCGTTTATCATGTCCTGGAACTTTGCATACTGAACACCGTCTTGGGCCTCGTGGTGGTCTTCCACTTTGATCCATTTCATTCTGAATTCTCTTTTTCCTCGGGCGCCCCGGTTCACGCCTCTGTCCGAATGGCGGGACGATCAATTTCCCTTCGTACAACGGCCAATAAGCTTCATCAGGCAATGCACGGAAACTCCGTCCGTAGGTGCTTTTGAGTGAGTCGATATTGAAGAATGGACTAACGAAGTGACGGGGGTCTTTGCTCCTCTTTTTAATTACGGCCATTGCATGAGAACAAGGCCATCCTCTCCCCTGATACTTCTGGCATGAGCACTCACCAACTTTGGTCCTGAAAATGACCAAAACTTCGTGACGGTGGCCCCCCCGTCTACCATCCTCCCGATGTCCGGTCGTCACGCTATACTCACCAGTTGCCCGATTCATAACGGTTACACTATGTCGACTGCTCTTGCGATTGTCACTATCCATTATTTCAGTGACTTTATAGGCATGGACCTTTCCCTGTGCCTCGTTTGTCCTTGCCCAGTGGAGACGGTTCACGAACCATGCATTCGTTTTCCAAAAAGTCATCTCCACAATGGCAGAGATTGGCAGTGCACGGACGGCCTTGTAGACAGAGTTGATACTCTCACTTGAGTTGGTTGTGGAAATACCCCATCTTTTCCCTCCATCTTTATGAAATGTCCACATGGATAGGTCGTGTCCATCCAGCCACTGTGCCCCTTCAGGGCATAACTCGCGCAGCTTTTGCAACTTCTCCTGGAATTTTTTCTCCTGGTATGCAACCGCTGAATAACACACAGAAAAGTCGTCTGTTAGTCAATGATCCTCGTCAGACTCTTAGGAGAGGTATACATCTCCTTAGAAACACAGCCTGTTTGACAGAAAAAGGGGGGATCCGAAGATCGCTTATAACCCGATTTTCCCAGGAAATGGGAGGACCATCATAATCGCTTAAAACCCCATTTCCTTAGGCATGCATCTCTTTAGAAAGAGTCTAACAAGTGCACCACTCCCGAGATTACAAGATATTGTTAATTGAGAGCAATAGAGAGGTTACCAATCCACCACAAATTATCAGCTAGCTTCTTCCGCTTGAAATGATGGTTCCAGTTGCTTTTGAAGTGTCGTATGCACCACCTTTGGGACCAATTCCAGGCTGGATCCAGGCCTAAGATGGCTGCTCTAATGCCGGCGTGCCGATCAGAGATTATTGTCAGGTTCGTCCTCCTGGTGACGTGGATTTGGATTTGTCGGAAAAACCATCCATAGCTATCAGCATTCTCTCCCTCAACAATGGCGAAGGCTAAAGGAAAGACTTGTCTGTTTGCATCCGCCCCACTGGCAATCAGGAGAGTGCCCTTGTACTTGCCGGTAAGGAATGTACCATCCACAGTAATCACAGGGATACAAAAGCCAAAACCATCAATAGAAGGCTTGAATGCCCAAAACAGTCTGCGAAAATGGCGTTCGTTACCTGCCTCTGGGGGTTGTATCTCTTCATCTTGGTATCGAGGGGAGAACACAGTCCCAGGGTTAGACGCCTCCAATGCCAGTATTAGTCTGGGAAGGAATGCATATGATTTTTCCCAATCACCATAGACGGCGGCCATAGCTTTCTGCTTTCCATGCCACGCCTTCTTATAGTTAATCATATAACCAAAACGACTTGCAATGTCAGCGATTATGACTTTCACCTTCAAATCCGGTTCAGCCTCAATCAGATGCTTGATAGCCGCAACAACCACCCTGGATTTCAACTGTCGATGGTCTTGGGAAGTGATGGATGACACACATGTGTGTGTGTTGACCGCACGGGATATGACCCAGTGGCCGTGTCTCTTGCTGTTGATGGCCCGAATCCTAACATTGCACCCCTCGTGATGATTACGGCATCTGACTATGAGCCTTTTGGTGTTGGAATGAATTGTGTGCCATTCAAAATGCCGAGTCATTGCTTCAGTCTCAAGGGCGTGCCGCACATCCTTCTTCGAGCCAAATTGTTGGCCCATCGTAAACCCAGTGAGTGGGCCCCATATTGGGACCTATGGCGGCTCCATGTCGCTGTCGACCATCCAATTGTCGTCTGGAATGTGATTGTAGTAGGGGACTGGTACACGGTCAGGAGCCACATCATGATCATTATCTGAATCTGAATCTGGTGCTGAATCATCAGCACCTTCAAGAGGGTCTGAGCTGTCTGCACTGACGTTGTTCTCTCCTTCTTCATCAGAGGGGTCGCTGACTGGTGCTGGTGTGGCAGAATCCATCTGATCCTGCTCATGAAAGGCACCTTCATCAGCTCCATAATGGTAGTTGTGAAAACTACCGCTGCCTGTCAGGAAGTTGTACTGGCTTGGTTGGGGATGTCCGGTTGAACTTCTTCTTTATATGACGAGAAAGATTGATGATGGCCAGCACCTTGCCCTCCATCTTGGTACTGAAAATAGGATTGAGGATCATGGTAACTTTGGTAGGGATGATCGTCATATAATTCACCTCCACCATGGATACCAGATGTTTGACCGTGTCCAGAATGACGTCCAACACCAACGGCTGGCTCGGTGTAAACGAACATCTCGGCTTTGGCCAATTTGTTGGACCTCAAGAATTCGAGCATGGAATCTAGGTCATCTTGAGTTGTTATGGTATATTCCTCATGCCCCAATGACCCAGTTGCTCTGTTTGGGTATCGGTACACCATACGATCTACCCTCCTCGTGCCATCCATGCAAGTTGCGTCAGTGCATATTTGATGGAGGTCTTCAAGCTTCGGTCTGGTACCGACCGTTATTTTCTGAAAATTGCCACCGACGTAGGTGGCCCCCTTTCCGGTCTCTTCCGTGTAACCATTCCACCGTAAGCCAAGCGTTAACTGACGGAATGCCATCTGCACACAAACAAACCGTAGTTTAGTTAATATCATAAAAATCACAAATAACAATAAAAAGTAACACAAAATAAACTTACGAGTTAATGTTAATGGCATAAAAAGTAACACAAATTAAAGTTACGAGTTAATGTTAATGACATAAAAAGTAACACAAAATAAACTTACGAGTTAATCTTAATGGCATAAAAAGTAACACAAAATAAACTTACGAGTTAATCTTAATGGCAAACACACTAAATAAATATAGATATACGACAGAAAAATGAAAGAGAGAATGAGAGGTGTGAAGAGTAGAGGTTTTCCGGCAAGTCTTATATAGGGGAAAAAATTGTGAAAACCACACCTCTAGGGTGCGGTTTTAGTCTGCCATGCAGCCCTACGTCCATAATTCTCTGCATGGCTGTGTCGGGTGTCTGAAAATTATTGACACGTAAACCGCACTTGGGGGGTGCGGTCTACATGGCCAAACCTCACCTTAGAGATGCGGTTCGTTCTTGGAGGAATAAACCGCATCACTAAGGTGCGGTTTATGTAGGTCAGGCCTAAACCGCACCTCGGCCATGCGTTTCATGTAGGCCAGATATGAAAACGCATGGCCAAGGTGCGGTTTAGGCCCACCAATATAGAACGCACCCTCCAGGTGCGGTTTACATATAAAACGCACCTGGGGGATGCGGTTTATATGTAAAACGCATCTCGAGGGTGCGGTCAATAAAAAAGGGTGCTAGTCTTGTAAATATTTTTGGGAGGGTGCTAGTTTTGTAATTTTTTTTTTTAAAGGTGCTATTTCAGGAAAAAACTCAGAGGGCATTAGACCTATACGAGTCAAAATTCCTTAGTCGAACCAATATGGTGAACAAGGTAAACTGTTCATCTTAATAAGTATTACATGGTTGCAGTTTATTTTTTTAATACGTGTTGACAATTTCCGCATATGTAGGTGTGTGTTCCGATGAGAGATAATGCACATTGGTACTTGGCTGTCATTAAGTTGGACAAGGAAGAAGTCCAAATCTTGGATCCACAACCAAATGAAGACCGCAATTCCTTTCGACTACAATCTGTTCAAACAATGGTAAATTTGTGACATTGTGCCGTTATAACACAAAAAAATGTAAATACCTCTTTCTAAATACAAACGTTTCTTAATTTGTACAAATGAGATTTATGCAAGCCTTGTGGAAGAGTCTCTATCGTCAACGATTTCCGGGATTGTCGCCACCGAGGATTGCGGAGTTTTCGTACACAAATCCTTCAAAGGATCAAGAACAACTTCATCGGTAAGTATGCCCATTTTGTGTGTATTAAAAGACGGCTTATCAACTTGTTTATCGTGCGATTCTTTCATTTTATGTAGGTCTGACAGTGGAGTCTGGGTCTGCATGTGGATGTATGGCGCAAGCTGGGACTCCTCTTATATTTGGGTAAAGACAATTCTAGTTCGTATATTAGAAAGCCACACTTGATTGTTATTTTTGAATCATGCATTAAGCACCATGTTTGTTGATGTTTATAGCCATGCACTCAAGTGAGGAGGATGCAGATCACTTTGTACCTTGTTCGAGAGCCCATGAACTACATAAGGCATATGGTGCTCACAGAAGCAAGGACAATTGCACCTCAGGTTGAAGCTGCAGTCGAAGAGTACAAGACAGCCCATGAAAGGAGGAAAAAGGAAAGAGAAGAGCACAAGGAACCCCAGTCAAAGAGCCCAAGGACAACCTGATTTTGCATTTTTTTTTTCAAGATGATGGACAACCATGTTATGTTTTTTTTTTCAAGATGATGGACAACCGTTTTTGGTTTGGTTTGGTGAATGCTTTTTAAATTTGGTTTTTGATTTGGTTTGGTTTGGTTTGTTTTTTGGTTTATATTTTGGTTCGGTTTTGGTTTGGTTTGTTTTTTTGGAAACTATGTTGACTTTTCGGACAGCAAGTGGCAATTTTTTTGTGAAACTATATTGGTTTGGTATGTTAATGGCTACTATCTTAGTTCTAGAGTTTCGATGTTGCAATTCGAGATTGTGCCAAATAAATCAGAGAAACTGCTGCGGCGATCCAAATATGTCCTCAGGTGAATCACTAAATGTTGAGCATTATGGGATAAGGCATATTGGATGACCTTGACAAACAGACTATTGACGTGATTGTTGCTCTCCGAACGGTGATTATGAATGCAGGCTAACTTGCGGACACTCGAGGGATGGCGGAGGGCCAAAACCTTGTCCACGTACCTCTGGAAACTCGAATAAGGTTGGAAGGAATTACTTTGAAAACTGAGGACAGGGACATGTTTCCAAGCGCATTGCCAAACTCTGGACAGTACAGAGGTCTGAACAGCGGATTTGGTATCTGAGAAACGAAAGGATGTGATGAATGATGGAGTCTGGAAGATGGCTTAAGCTGTCAGTAGTTGTGGTATCTACTTCTTCACGGAGCCTTGACCTTCGACCGTTTTTTCCCAACTCGCAGCAGCTACTATTGTCAATCATGGCTTTCTGTACTGATCAATTCAATTCTGCCTAACGCAAGAAATGGAGAGGAATTAGAAACGAAAATTTTCCCAAGAAATCAACGAACAGGAATTCACCTGTCTTTCCGATGATCGCTGCAGCAGGAGGGGCTCTTACCCGCCGTGCGCCGCGCCGCACCGCGCCAACAGAGCTCCAATGAATGATTAACCCCGCCCGATGTGATCCGAACTGCTCATCGTCGAAGCTCGGACTTCCGAAATCGTTGAAGGCTGACACAGAACGAGACCGCTAGCACCCATGGCTGGAGAAAGTTCCACATCTCGCCGATTTAGGGTTTTGGACTTTGGTGGCGGGCGATTGCAGAGGGTAACTGGAATCTGACCGTGAAAGTTAGTGAAACTGCTAGAGACGATTGAGCTGGTCTAGTGAACGAGATTTAATTTTTTAAAATGTGTTTGAGAAGACATTCACAGCAAGGGGTGGTGGCGCAGTTGGTTAGCGCGTAGGTCTCATAGCTAAAGAGTGATCCTGAGGTCGAGAGTTCGAGCCTCTCTCACCCCATTTTTTTATAGTTGTTTTCCTGTCCATTGGTTTAACTTGTTGCAAATTTTTTTTTTTTTTTTTAGGCTATTAACTTGTTGCAAATTTGCTAGAGCAGTACCGGTTCCTTCCACCAGACTCGGCATTAGAGAATAGAGATCATGAAGGAAATCGTGATAGTAAGTACTAACAGTGCTTAGATTTCTTAAAAGAGTCCCGACCTTAGAAAATATACACGATTAGATTTTGCCTGGCTTTCAAACAGGCAATTGGATGAAGCAGTGAAGAAAAAAGAACTACTGAAGCTGAGATTACAAGAAAGAAAGACAAAATCAGTGCCATTCTATTCCACCGAACGTTGTAGTACCCACACCTTCCCATATCTCACAAAATCCTACTTCCTCTGAATCAACACCTTCCATGTCGCAGTCCCACCAACCAGAGCCATTAGCATCTGTCCAAAGCAGAGAAAAGCAGGGTTAAGGAAACAATAAAATCAGATATGCCTTTTCCCATACCATCAAGGAAAGCCTCCAAAGAGAATATCATTTCCGTATCTCACTCACAATGATTGTAGACCTTTTTCCGCTTTTTCTTGTTATTGAATCTATCTTCAGCTGCCCTGATTCTCTCTTGTTGATCACCCCCCAGCACCAAGGGGGGTTTACGAGCAGCAGCAGCATGCTTTATTTGCTCACAAGCTTGTAACCCTGATGAGATAAACATCTTATGAGTCATAAACCATAAGGATGGAAGCTACAGCTATAGGCTTCAACAGTCAAAGTTAGTAAATCTCGAGTCATTCCTTGATGAAAACCAATGCCGGCAAGTAGGAATCTTTAACAACCTCATGAAAAGTTTCAAGTGCAGAAAACTAATTCCCCACATTAAACTGCGATAAGCTGTGGTGTAAGCTTACTCAAGCACCAGCTGCTAGCTAGAAAAAATTTCACTTGTAACACTAACAGAATCGACCCAAATCCTATTTTTACTCAAGAAGAGACATGGAAAGTGGAAAAGCCAAGTCTGTGAAGTCACGATCTTTTCCTAACTAAACTAGAGCTCTCGGGGGGGGAAGCTTATGTATAAACTGATATATAGTAGATAAAGTTTGAAATAGTTCACCCTAAAGGTCTAAGTGTTCTTGTACCTGTTCTGGACGGGCAATCTGAGTGAGAAAAACCCAAACCAGGCAAACTGCTGGAATCAGTTGGTTTCGTGATTGTGCCAAATCCACATGATGAATCAGCAGCAGCATTTCCCTTTTCACCAACAGCAGGCTTCTTAAACAAATGAAACACTACTTCATCATCCACTTCCGCCGAGGAGTTCCTCTCTTCCATCTCATCCTTTGAGCCCGCACTAACGCTGCTGTCGGTTCTACGACCTAATGGCGACAGAAAAGGCTGGGACTTGCCCTGATACCAAAGTCCAGCACACAGAATTCAAACCCTAACCTTCAATTCGACCTCAAATAAGTTCGCAAATTAAGCAAAAGCTAACCCTCGCAATTCGCCAAAGATGCCAAGAGCAAGCTAATTGAGAAAAGGAAGGAAGAAGCACACCTTCAGTGATCTGGAGCGAACGGCAGTCTTCTGCAGCTTCTTGTTGAGGAAATCAGAGAGCGATAACTTTGAAGAATTCAGCAATCCGTTTTTCTTCTGTTCTCCCGCGGCATCGGGATCCAGAGCGCTGATTTCGTTCCTGAAGTGTTCAGCGAAAGAAATGGTTACTAGCTAAAGTTGAACAGAGAATTCAAACAGCCAGAAGCAAATCGTCGAGCAATCGTGCCGCTGCGGCGGATAGCTTACCGCCGGTTGGAAGAAGATGGGAAAACCAAGGACGACATAATGGATCTCTGGCCTATAGCCCTAATTGGATTATCCTTTGGTTTCATTTTTCGCACCTCTTGTTAACGATCTTCCTTCTTCCTCCAAAACCTTTCTGATTCGCGTCAGTTTCAAAGCCAGCCTGGTTGCAGGGTTTTGCTTTCCTCCGGCGATTTTCATTCCCTAAAGTGTTTGGCGCCGCGCTGGAGGGAGATAAACAGCCAAATTTATATAAGTTTTAATTTTCCCGCGCTCTTCTGATTTAGGCAGTTAACCACCAAAAGTTCCCGCGTTTTTGATTGTTTGTCAAGTGGGAGATGATAGGGCTCAAGTTAGGGTGCATAACCATGGGTTATGCATCCATCAATAACCAAATCTGGACCCTTCATTTAGAAAATCCAGATCTAAGGATGGAGAATTAAAGCTCATTTTTATTTTCACTAGCTTTCTTAATTGACTAATATCTTTTTCGTTTTAACTCGAATTTTAGTTTTTTTTGCACAGATGGAACGAGTTCATCGTGCTCTACAAAATGAGATCAATTTTCAATATTTTTTTAGGAAAAAAAATTCTGGCCTCTCGGTACCAACTGCATACCATATGGTATCTTCTTCGTTTTTAATTCGTTTTTGAAAACGTTTGCACAGCAGGGACGAGTTCATCATGATCTATTGGATCTACAAATTTCTGGGTAAACAAATTACAAGACAAAAAAATACCACACAATACCATACAATACCACCCTGGTACGGGGTGGTATTTTATGGTATCTTATGGTATAAAATGTTAAAAGTCGTAAATGACAATTAATATACTTCTACTATCATGTATTCAACCATCCTACAGTTTTTGTTTGTGTCATACCACCATGGTATGCTTTTCAAACCATAGATATGCTCTTATTTCAATACCAGTCAATACCATATGGTATAGACTGGTATAAAATGTGTCGATTTTTTTTGTTCGAAAAATATATCAAAGTGGATATCATTTTGAATAGCACAATTAATCTGATCTAACTGTGCAAAAAAAATTAAATTTCGACAAAAAACGAGTGAGAAATCATCCGTCAAAGATTAAGGAGGGGAAAATTAAAGGCTTTCCAAGAGAGAGAGGATGCTGATGTCATGCTGATGTGGGCGGGTTACTCATAGTTAGGGTGCTATTGTGCTAACTCCATAGGGGTTAACACCATACTAACTAGTATCCATAGAGTGCAAATTAAGAAAACAACAAAATTTCAAAAAGTGGAAGTTAATACTATTTTTAAGGAAATAAAATATAATTTACTTTTCCTTATTAATTCCTCAAACACGTCTCTTTAGAAAACACTACTACAGCTAGCATTGCTAAAAATGACTACCAATATCATTATTCTTTTATTTAAACTCTGTAGTAGTGATTTGATGCATGTAGTATTGATTTTGTGGATTATTAGTAGTAATTTTAATAATTATTTATTAAAATAATATTATTATACTTATCAAATCACTACTATAATAATTGTATAATCCATAAAATCACTACTATAAAATCGTTACGGTTACTACCATCATATATGTAAACCTTATATATATAAAATCACTACTATCAACATATAATAAATACTACTACTTGTCGGCTGCTGGGAGCTAATGTTGGGTTTAGTGTGGTGTTTGTAGGTAGACAGAACAATAGGGTGGCCCATTTGGTGGCCAAGAAAGCCCTCGATTTGTTTCCTAAGGGAAGGGTTGGTTTTGATTTTCGAGCGTGATTGTGCTCAGAAATAGGTTTGATGTAACTTTTTTGTCTTGTTAATGCAAGTATCTTTTCGGGAAAAAAAAATACTACTACAAAATCACTAACAAAACAAATTTGTCAAAACCTTCCTATCCTTCCTGTCCCAAACTAAACAAATAATGGAGAAAGCAAATATGCCCAAATCCACCTTTACTTCCTTTTCGTTCCTGTCCCAAACTAAGCCAAAATGGAGGAAACAAATCTACCGAACCTTCCTTTCCTTCCTTCCGTTCCTATCCCAAACTGAGCCAAAAATGGAGAATGGTGAACCGACAAATCCATCCGAGAGCGGCAATTGACACAGATCGACGCGGAGAGTAGAAATTGGGGATGAGGATGAGATTTTCAGTAAAGAGACTGAAGGGAGGTTGAGACTATTGGCGCGGAGGATCCAGTCCGACGACAACAAGAATGATGACTCCATGAGTAGCAACGACAAGAGCCGAAACTTGCAGGTGGGATTCACAACGACGACGACAATTGCATGAGCGGTGACTGCGAAGTCGAGTCGTTTGGAAAGAGAAAGAGACAGAGATCAAAGGGGAACAGCAGAATGAAAGGGGAAAGCGGAGAGCGGTTGTTTGTATTCGATCCCAAACCTACCCACGTTTGTTTCAAGGCTAGGATAAGGTGCAAACTTACCCAAACTGCCCCTAGTAGTAAACTGAATGGTTAAAGGTCGTCCTAAAAATTACTAACCATCGTCCTAACTTAATATGTAATTTACCAAATTGCCCATTTTGAATTTCAAAATCAAACACAAAACAAACAACTCCTCCCCCTTTTAGAAAGGACTCGAGACTCGGGACGAAGAGAGCGACAAATATTCTTTTCTGTTTTTTTTAAATGGAGTGTAATTAAAAAATAAGAAACATTTTATCCACCTGTGGGCCAATTTCACGAACTGCCAGTCTGCCACTCGTAAACCTGTTTAAATAATTCAAAGAACTTTGTCGACGGTCGCGGGGACGGACTGTTTTTCGTCCAAAAAATTTATATAATGACGGCTAGAAGCGGGTGTCGTTAGGGAACCGTCAGCATAATGATGTTTTCTTGTAGTGTCCGGCAGCAATTATTCAGAAAATTGGTTGCGGGTAGAAAGCTATGGACATCTGATCCAATTAACAAAAGCTACACTCTACATTTCTACGGATCTAGGGTTTCATGTTACCCTACCCAAAACAATTCGGGTTTTACTAATACTCATACCCACATAAGAAACGGATAGAAAATTCAAACCGTGCACATACCTGTTTGGATTTCGGGTATCCATGGTTATTTATGGATCATAGTTTCTCTTTATAACTCCAACCAATATGTTAATAATATTCACACGTATTCTCACGTTACGTAAGACGAAAAGTACGACAATAATTCACTAGAATGAAGAAAATTAATTGAAACAACACAATTTCATAAAATATTTTATTTATATGCTAAATGTAAAATATGTTAGTGATAAATATTAATCATTTCTAGTCAAAATACATATGCATGTGGATAATCGGGCGGGTTCGGGTTGGATAGTGAGAAAGCTGCTAGTTACATCGATCTTTTCAAGTATCCTGACTAGGGCTAGAAGTTTGGTATCGGGATTTGGCATTACCATATACCTTACCGAATTTATCACTATTTGGTTTGGTATCGAGATTTGGCATTACCATATACCTTACCGAATTTATCACTATTTGGTATTACCGAATATCGGTTTATTTTAGCGATTGGGTTTGAAACTCTTTTTGGAGTGCTATTCGGAATTACGGGATTGGAATCGCTATATACCAAAATACCAAAAATTAAAAAGTAATGAAATATAGCACACAACCTTTGGTCATTTCTCACTCTTTCGCTACTTTGGAACCCCCATCCAACTCAATTTTGACTTTTCAGTTTAAGTCACTCTTGTCTCTCACCTAATCTCTTGTTATTTCACAACAGTTAAAAGCAAACACTAGTATTAGTCGTCTCTCAGCCTCCACTTGGTCAAATTAAAATTTACCAATGACAAGAATTTGAGATGTCAACTCTTCTCCATTCTCTTTATCCATATAATAGTTCTAGGCAAACTCAAGATTCTTTGCTTAGTTTTTTACCCTAAATTAAAAAATCAAATCTAATTGACATATTTATTAATTTCAAAGGTAATTGATTTCATATTTGATAATACCAATCGGGATACCGAAATATTTGGGGGTTGGGATTGAGAGACCGAACTTATGTAGAAATTGGGATTGATTTTATAGTATAATTCGGTATTCGAAATTTTGATATTTGACAATAGAATACCGATACCGTACCGATTTTCAGTCCTAATCTCACTGCCAACAATATAAAGTTTTTGACTTTTTTAAATTGATTTTAAGGCCAGGGATTCGGGTTAATTGCATGATTGGTCACTGAGATTACAAAAAACGTCCATGTTTGGTCACTGAAAATATTTAAATCCAATCTTGGTCACTCAAATTAGTTAAATGGTTCAAGTTTGGTCACTCTCCGTCCAACTCCGTTAAATATGTCTGATGTGGCAGTCAACCCTCAAAGTTGACCGTTAACTCGGTGACGTGGCAACTAAAAAATAATAAATAAAATAAATTTTAATCTTCTACCATCTCCAACTCATTTTCACAATAAAGTAAAATAAAAAAAATAAAAAAATATATAGAGGCTCCTTTGAGGACATGATATTCTCAGCCCTAGACATCAATTTCTACCACCAAATCTCATCCGAAGAAAGTTGAGGACTTCCAGGCTGCTGCTTATCCACAGACGATTGCAAGTCTTTCCATTTCAGCAAAATCATCCATCAGATCCATGTCCGGAGCACCAATACTTTTTCTGGACAACGAGCCATTCTTTTTACCATGCTTGGAGTGTTCCGGTTCTAAAGTCAAGGCACAAGGCCAAGATTCAGCAGAACTAACCTTATCATCACTACCAGCTTCAGACACCGAGCTTAGTGAGATATCATGGGGCACAAGACGCAGCTTTGAGAGCTCCAACGATGTTCGCCACTTGGGCGATTCATAAATGCGCGAGTCAACCGGTGGTGATAATCTGGAAGCTGCACGAGCAAACATAGCTCTAGAAGATTGCAGCAACAACAACAACATTACTACAATCAGGCGGTTGGCGGCGGAAGAGTGGGATGGGGGAGAGGATCAGTGGTTGGGGATTTGGTGGTGGAGCGGCGGCGGCGGGCAATTGGAGGGGAATTTGGTGGGGAAGGGGATGGGGAGGAGGAATTGGAGGAAGATGAAGCGTTTGGGAGTGTTGATGGGCTTGGGTTCATTTGCTGTTGTTGCCACCACTGGTTCTGTTGTTGTTGTTGTTGTTGTTCGGATAGGATTTGGTGGTAGAAATTGATGTCCAGGACTGGGAATATCATGTCCTCAAAGGAGCCTCTAAATTTTTTATTTTTTTATTTTACTTTATTGTGAAAATAAGTTGGAAATGGTAGAAGATTAAAATTTATTTTATTTATTATTTTTAATTGTTACGTCACCGAGTTAAAAGTCAACTTTGAGGGTTGACTGCCACATCAGACATATTTAACGGAGTTGGACGGAGAGAGACCAAACTTGAACCATTTAACTAATTTGAGTGACCAAAATTGGATTTAAATATTTTCAGTGACCAAACATGAACGTTTTTTGTAATCTCAGTGACCAACCATACAATTAACCCCAGGGATTCTAAGGGTTTGAAAATATGAAAAACGTGCCAGAGAAGTTATTCAGAGAGATATTTCCCTCGAGTCGAGGGGAAAAGCGTGAAGAAGATGACAAACAAAAGAATAAAAGCTGAAGCACTGTCTTCATAAGTCCCACTCAAGCAGACAAGAACAGAGCTTACAATGTCGCCAATCAGACAAAATGGTATACATTTCAATCAAAACAAGTTGAGCAGCTCTTGCGAACTACTTGAAAAATTCATGAACTACTGCCTACTGGAAAATGATCTGAAAATAAAGAAACTCCAACCTATTTGCGTACCACAATCAGCAACCATGGCAGAATGGTTCGCGACAGGGCCAGATACACTCAACGCTGGGGTTCATACTAGACGACCCTTTAATAAAGTAATTTACCAGTTCATCAGATACTCTCTTTCGTCCACCAATAGTCTTCAAGATCAAGGATTTCAACTTCGTAAAGGGAGAGGATTGTTGTCGTTCCAGAAAGTCGGAAATTTTACTCAGTGCCTAGACAGAACAGAAGCCAAGTTCAAATGCAAGGCAATATTTCCAAGAAGAAACACCTGTAGTAGAAGCAGCGCATTATCCAGGCAAAGATTACCTTGAGGGTGACGCTATCCAGGCTGAGATAAGTTACATTATTCAAACCCTGGAACAAGGAGATGAAGCGTTGTGCCCCGCATTCCCTGTTGTCCTTGGTGAAATTGGCCCAATCCTCGACGGCGATAGCAGCATGATAAAGGGAAGGAATGCTTAACTTCATGAATACCAGGGATTCCAAGTCATGCAGAAGACTGAAGAATCTGAGTCTTGGTGCAAAAATTTCCATCTTGTAACACACCATGAAGTTCAATTTCAGGCTAAGCAATCGGGCTCCAGATATCCTAAGACCCCTATCATCCTCGATAGAGTTGGAGTAGTCCCAAGGTTGGCAAACAATCAGGATCAAATGCTCCAGCGAGGGGAAGTTCGAAAAAAAGTCCTCATATTGATCAGAAGCCAGAGAGCAAAGTTGCAAATCTAAAGTTGTCAGCACCCGAAAACCACAAGATCCAAGACCGTCATTGATGCAGACATATTTCAGTTCTAGAGTTTTGAGGTTGCAATTCGAGATCGTGCCGAACAAATCCGTAAATTTGTCACTCTGATGGAAATCCTTAAACTCATTGTCCAGGTCAATCAGTAAATGTTGAGCATCATAGTATAAAGCATATTGGATGACGTCGATGCACATACCAACATCTCGAAACTCCGAGATAAATGAGTCGCTTTCCTCGTCAATGTTAAACTTACACCTCTCACAGTTGTCAAGGTAGCTCAGCTTGCGGAGGCTAAGTGGATAGCGGAGGTCCAAAACCATAGACACAAACCATTGGAAACTCTCATACTCCAGGAAGGACAGTCGGCGCAGATCGAGGACTGGGACGTGTTTCCACACGCGGTTCCATGCCCGAGACAACACCGAGGTCTGGACCGCGGATTTGGTGTCGAGGAACGAAAGGATGTGATGAAGAATGGGTTCCGGAAGATGGCTTAACCTGTCAGTGGTAGTATCTTCTTCCCCACTACGCCCATTTCCCATTTTCCCCAACTCGCAGCAAGTGCAGTGGATGCTCATCGCTTTTCTATCTGATCAATTCAGTTCTACCCTAAAATAGGAAATTGAAAAGGGATCAGAAACAAATAAGAAAGACCGGAACAAGAAACATGAATACACCTTAATTCGATCACCGTTGACGGAGGCTTGCCGCCGTATTCCGCGCCAGCAGAGTCACAAACCGATCGGTTACCCCGTGATGTAGAAGCTACCGACAATTGATCGGATTAACGAACGCGAAGCCGCAAACTTCACGGGATGAGGGTTTCATTTTAGGGAGCGGGGACTTCAGTTTCGACGAGGATGGCGACTGTAGAGGTCAGGGGAGAATTGAGAAGTGGCTTTCGGAAAATCAAAATCTGATTGGAAAAGCGAGGAGAAGGTCATTATTTTTCTTCTTTATTTGTTTTTGGGCTTTAATAGTTGGATCATATTAAAGAGGCCCACATTATACACAGACCTGCTTATCCTTTCTGGCGTTCTACGTGGATATATAGATTACAGGTCCAAACAATAAAGAACTTAAAACCCAAAACCTACAACTCCAACTGTCCAACTCACTTCCTAAACCTCTTCTTTAACCTCTCCCATCCTACGTTGCCTCAAAGGTGCATTTGCCTTGTTAGTACTCTAAACAAGCCACTTTTGGAAATATCATATAGTTAATCTGAACCAATGCTGTCAAAGCCGAGCCGGAGTATGACCTGATAACGTGAACGGCTCAGTCATTAGTGGTCCAGCCGGCATTAGACCGTTTAAAAACAGTTTGAGAACCGATACCTAATAAACAGGCATCTATAATAGTAGACACTTCTTAATCATGCAAATTAACATTACAATCAACCAGAAATTTGCATCAATTAGGTTTAACAAAATTAACTTACCTCGAGCAGAAGGTGAGTCGGCTGGTGGGAGATGTTGCGGACTGTGGAGGTGAGATGGCTGGAGCAGGGCAGTGGCTGGAGCAGGGCGGTGGTTGGGGGAGATGTTGCGGCAGGAGCAGGGCTGCAGGGGGCTGCTTGCGACGACGGCGGGGAGCAGAAGCAACGATGGCGACTGGCGATGGCACTGCTTGCGGCGATTGCGAGCTGCTTGCGCCGGGAGCGGGGAGCAGAAGCGACGATGGCGACTGGCGATGGCGCGCTGCTTGCGGCGGCGAGCTGCTTGCGGCGGTGGGACGGATGCGCTGGGGACCTGGGGCGATGGTTGACGGCGGCAGGATGGCGCCGCTCTCCCTCTGTCGTCTGTTCTACACTTCTACTTTTAGGTCGAAGATGGAGAAATAAAAGGAATGTTAGGGTTTTGTTTGGCTGCCCAATTCCACGATTCCTTTTCTATTTTTATTTTTTTAAGGGTAAACCAAATGGCCGAACCGCGCGACCGGCTTGAGCGGCTCGAGCGGTTAACCGCTTCGGCCGCTCGCCGGCCGCTGTATAAAACCGTGGCGGTTAAATAGCTGATCCGAGCCGGTTTTATGGCCGGGTGGCGGCTTTGGCGGTCCGGCCTACCGGCTCGGTTCGGCTTTGACAGCACTGCTGAACGACTAAAAAGAACTTTAATTTTATTATTATTGTCGTAACTTAAATAATAATATTAAACTTACAAAAAAAATATAGGCTAAATTACACGTTTGGTCACTCAAATTATACAAATCTTTCACATTCGCCACCCGAATTACTTTTCTTTCTTATTAGCCACTAACTTTACGAATCGTTTCACCATTAGTCACCAACCGTTACACTCCATTAAATTTATCCTACGTGGCAGTCAACTATAAAGTTTGACTGTTAACTAGATGACGTGGAAATTTTAAAAAAATAAAAATAAATTTATTTTTTCACCTCATCATTTCACTTGTCTATATGATTTATCATATTAATTATTTAATAAAAATTAATTAAATTACAGAAATTAATTATCAGCCCTTACAACAATTTCCTCCACTTCGGCGGAGAGACCCTGATGGTCGCCGTCCATCGATCGACAACCTTTCTCGTCCCTCGTGTCCAGGGGCGGATACATGGGCCTCTAGGGGTGTCCCGGGACACCCCTAAAATTTGGGAAAACAATTATCTAACCTCCGGTAGTAGTTTCGTATGGGTATACAAAATATAATTGGTAATTCGGGACACCCTAACATTTGAAAAATGATTATCCTACCCTCGATAATAGTTTGCTTATGATTAACAAAATATAAGTGGTAGTCCGTGTTATTCCAACCTAGGACACTACTATTATCAAACATATTCTAATTATGTTGCTACTCATTTGTTATTCTATTTTAAACATCATGCAACTAGTAAAACGCTATTTCTTTATCCCCAACTATTTTCAATACCTAATAATTAAACTACGTACACGCTACCCTTAATTTTGAATTGATTTTATGGTTACACGGCAAGTGTTGAAAGAGTCTTTTCTACTTTGAGCTACATTAAGAACAAGGTTAGAAATCGAATATGTGATAAGTTCGTGAAGTATTGTCTAGTAGGATATTTAGATTTTTTTTGAATAGTGCAGACACGAAGTTTATTTTATATTATTTTTTCAAAATATGAAAACACATCATGAATTTTAATAAAAAAATTATACAAGTATGATATTTTTAATATATGAATTATTTAATTAAATTTAATTTTTGAAGATGACACCCCTGTAAAAATTTTCTGAATCCGCCACTGCTCGTGTCAAAGGTCGCCAAGCTCTCCGAATGAGAGTGATAGCTGCAGTGTTGTCGGTGGCGTTGGTGGGATGGGTGTATCTAACCACTTGCCCTCCATCTCCCAAGATCTGCGGCAACCCAGATGATCCTCCGTCACCGGATCCAGAATAAAGCTCCGACCTGCATATGGCCTACAAAGAAATAGGCTTGCCCAAAGACGTTGTGAAGTTCAAGCTCATCTTTATCCATGTCTTGATGGGCAGAGAGAGAAAGTCAAAGTTTGATCAAGACTTTCATAACGCACTTATATGGCAAAAACTGAAATTCTCCGGCTGCAAGCGAAACCGACTTACAAACACGTTTTGAGGATTTGAATCGGGAATGGAGTTTGATTGGGCGGCGAATCTTTTTTATTTCGCGATTCTCTCTCCCACGAGTTAGACCAAACTTGTTGGAGGACTCGACTATATAGATTTAGTAGTATAGGTGCTTATTTGTAATGTTTGTTTAATATGTTGTTGCTTTAGTCATTTTACTAGGACTGAATATATATATATATATATGTAATAAAGACAGTGTAAATTTTACGGTTTCATTAATAAAAGAAGTAGACTCTTTTCTCCAAGATCAACAAAACTGTATTAAAGGTAAAAAAGAGGGACATGCCAAAACCCAAAAGAGGTAAAGCTCACCTCTGTTTTTTTTTTCTTTTTCCGGCCAGTGCAAATCGCTGCCGACGCCATCACAATTTACTTCTGTACAGATCAAACCGGTTAGTTGTTCACATTCCATAATTTCCATTCACTATAGCCACATTAACGATCGACGTTGGAGTAGGACATGTTAGATTGTCCTCGGATTGTGACTCTGTTCCCCTGCTTCGTTATGCAGGTCATCGTTGGCTTCGGACGTGTTTAAAGGTCGTGTATGGTAGCTCGATTCCGGTGGTGGGCGACGAGAAGTTGCAGATGAGAGTGTTAGTGGACCATTCGATTGTGGAGAGCTTTGGGCAAGGAGAGAGGAGAGTGATCTCGTCCAGACTCTAGAGTTTATCCTACCAAGGCCATCTATGGAGACCGGAGACGTCATGTTATAAACCGAACAGAAATTTTAGGGTTACCGATCTGGCTGAGTCGCGGACTAGGTCGCTCTCTTTAAGACGTTCGCGGCACTGTCTCGTATTGCGCACAGTAGACTATCAGCCGGTCGCCTCCAGGATAAAACAGCCATTCTAATTTTGATGCTCATCGGTTTTGTGCGAAAAACCGGAGCTCTATGAATTCACTCTCTCTCGTGTTTCTGCTCTTCTGAGGTGTATTTAGAGGGTCTAGGGCGTCTCCTATTTATAGGAGCAGAAAACCCAGAATATTCCCTCTTTCTTTGGGAATAAGTCATATTTTAATTAGGGAGATGATTACTCCCACAATTAAAATATAATCTATTAAGATAATTATTCCTAATTATCTCCATAATATTCCTTTTATTAATTATCCATCTTAATTTCGTATTATGGGAAAATACTGGATAATTAATCAGGAATTTCATTATAGCTTTTCAAAGCTATTCATCCCAACAATCCTCCACTTGAATAGTTTGAAACTATCTCTGAGCATCAACAGTTCCATAAGATCGGGCATAAGCTAAGGTATCGCGAAGATTTGAACCTTAGCGTAGTGGTTATGATTCCGATTTCATAAGGGCGACTCGTAGTCTTGAACCCTATCTCAGACAATGTAGCACGCCGGATCTTTTCATTGAGTGATATTCTCTCATAGGCCGTGCGTTTATGGCCATGCACGTTATCCCGGTTTAGTGAACGCTCTAGCAACTTTGTGCCTCCAAAGTTCCATAGGGAGCGGCCCCACTCCCACATTCACATAGGTGAGTCTATCAGAAGTACCCCCAAAGTAAAGTCCTTCACTCCACATAGAGTATAGATCTCATTAAGAGTTGAACTCAACCTCCAAGGCTTTGGGATTCATGCTTCACTCTGCATGAACTTTTCTCAATATTACTCATGACTTGTTATTACCCATTGAACCCGTTTCTTGGGATCTCCAGTCTATCGGGTCGGGTTACCATCACTTGTAATCCGTGGTTCGGTAGGCATAAGTCCCATACCCTTGGTGGTATTTTGGACTTTCTCTCTAGATAATCCTTTCGTCAAAGGATCATTGGGAGTGGAGGATCCCTCGCCGATTTAGAAGATCTCAAACACTAAAAGTATAATTTTTGAAAAAAACAAAACGCTGTACTTTCCCTCCCTATTTTATCCTATTATACATATGACAACTTTCCCCTCTTGTATATAATTTCGGAGCACGATCAACATGTACAAGTCAATGTTGCCCAAAAGAATCATCACATGACGTAGGGTTCCACAATACCTATTATGGAATCGTAACAACATGTGATGATTCTTTCGGCAATATTCAGACGGCAACTTGTTGTCATTTCTCCCCTTGTTGCCTCTCCAACAGCCCTGTATGGAGAGAAAAGAAGAAACAATAAAATGAAGGAGTTAGTTTAACAGTCATGATCAAAGACGGACATAATAAAGGGAACTGAGATCTAAAATAATACGCAGTATCATCATTACCACTGAAACAGAAAATAAAGCATGGGATAGGATGAAGAGGCGGCTGGGGTTCATTTTCATAGTTTCATATCGAGAAAATGGGAGAAAGGGTTCTTTTCAGGGATTGAGAGGAGGAGGAACGAACATCAGCAGGAGATGAGTGCCACTTGGGTTTCGGAGCACGGTCTCTCCTTCACTGATTAACGAATTTATAAATTGACTTGTAATTACTTTGACTTTCCCTCCCTTCCTATTTACTGAAAATTACACTCCCTACCACTGCCTCGGCCTTGATAACGTCAGCATTGGTTATGGGCAAAAGCGACTTTCCGAATTCGGCGATATCTGATTGGGTGACACGCACGCGACAAGGATCGAAGGTATTTCACCATCGGATTAAGGGAAAAGTTTAGGAATTAACGGTGGGAAATGGGGATGTGCTTTTATAAATAGTCTGACTTTGTAGATTAACTAACTTTTTCGTTTACCAACATTACTCTATTGATCTGGTTTATGTTATTCTAACTTGAATCATAACCCTAAACCCTAAACCAAACCCTAATACATGAACCAATCAATACCATATACTCTACAACAATAACACCTTATAGGCTTATACCCTAACCAATCAATAACATATATACTCTAAACCATCAACACCTTGCTACCTACCTTATACCATAATCTTCAATACCTTATACTGTATACCATAAACACCTTCTATCTTCATCCCCAACTTTTAGCAATTGCTAAAGATGAGTGGAGCTTAGGTGGAAAAAACTTAGCAATGCCACATAGATAACTTTCTTTTTCCTTTTTCCTTGTTTATTAACTTTTCAATTTATAATAAGTATTTCCTTTGAAATATTAAATGGAACCCACCCTGGCAATTGCTAGCATAATTTAGGGATGTAGATGAATAGAAATTGATAAGTGATGAATTGCTAAAATTGATGATGTGGCGGTAGGGACCTCGTTTAGAAATTGTTGTTCAATTTTAGGGATGAAGATGATCAATACACTAACCCAATACCATCTATTCTAAACCATCAACACCTTATACAATATCATATTTTAGGAATGGAGATGATCAATACACTAACCGAATACCATATACTGCAAACCATCAACACCTTATACAATATCGTATACCTATATGCTGATAAATTTTTTGCCCAACTAGATTACATAGGTACTTCAAAATTGAAATTCTGATAAATTTTTTGCCCAACCAGATTACATAGGTACTTCAAAATTGAAATTCTAACTTGCTTTTCAAAACATAAATTAAAAATTGATACTCTCTAAGTATCGAACCACAAACCTCTACTTTATTGACTAAGCAAATAAAGGACAATTAACCAATTAAGCTATATCACATTGATGACCATCTTGCATAATTTCGCTTTCTTATTAAGTGAAGGGTTAAAATGAACGATAAATATATCATAGGGGATTGTTCCAACTTCGTCGGGGACTGAGAGAGTGGAAAAGGGGTAATTATTCTACCAAAAAAGAAAAGAAAAGGGGGAATTAATAAAGAGTTAAATTGGACGGATTGTCTTTACCACGCCATTACAAAATCCTTCGGAGCAAAAACACGCATGTTCAAATCAAACAATAAATGAAGAAAGATGAACTTAATAACTCTAACTAATTTTCATTCCATATGTGGCGAATCACTAATGGCCGGGATCACCAACAAGGATAACCAACAAGGCAAAATAGATAATAGGAACCTACCTTGCACACACCAAATCATTTTATCTCGTATCGATAAATGTGTCACGCTACAATAATTATGTCTAAGTTTTTTTAGTAATAAGGCATGATCAACATTTATAAGAAAATATAAAATCGAGAAAAAATAAGACAACACCTACCCTCACCCTTTAACCAATCGATACCATATGCTCTAAACCATCAACACCTTATAACCTACCCATATACCATATACTCTATACCATCAACAACCTAATACCCTAAGCAGTCAGTACCCATTTCCTTTAACATCAACACCTATACAACAATCGTATACCTATACGCTGATAAAATTTTACATTTTGAAAATACTTTCCCAACTAAAGTACATAGGTACTTCAAAAGTGAAATTCTAACTTTCGTTTCAAAACATAAATTAAAAAATATCTTCACTCAGTATCCAACCACAAGCCTCTAATTAGTCTACAAGAGGTTTGTTATGTACGAGTGCATTGCATAAAGAGGGGCAATCCGTGAGAGAGTGGAATAGGATCTCAATTAATGAAGAGTTAAATTGGGCGGATTGTAGTTTACCTCGTACCGCTAAATGTGTAAAGAGACACGCTAGCATTTACCAAATCCCAAAAAAGATGGAACACATAATTATGTTTAAATTGCGTGAACTCAAGGCATGATCAGGATTTTAGAAGCAGAAGCAGATGAAAATAAGTAAAACAAAGAACCACCACTGAGATAGACAATTATCAAAGGCCCAACCTAATGACAATCCGAAACTCAGTATCTATTATCAACAAACTAGGTGCCATGGGTCATGTACAAGCCCACTTTTGAATGTTATTTAAAAGCCTGCAAAAATCAATGATCAGACCCAGTTCAACTAGAATTAGTCCTAAACGCACCGTTAATACATAAACACAAATTAAGGAGACCTCTCCATCCGATTCGAATCAAATTCTGTCTTCTTCATCTTCTTCCTCAATCCTCTGGGCGAGACGAACACCACATATAAGGAAACCTTAATTTCACCGAGTGATAGAAGTTTCGAGAAAATGACAATAACGCTAAGACAAGATGACAAAGCACTAGCGACATGAACCCTAGGGTTAGCAAACCTCTTTCAAGGGTTCTTTTGCAAATGAAAAGTTTGATGAACACAATAATAGACATGGTCGCCGTAATCGTGTTAGAAAGAGATATGTGAGTACGCCCGAAAATAAAAATGGCGATGAACAAAACATCGATTTGTGGATAGAAGGATTTGGGGTTCAAAACGATGATTATGTGAGGATTTCATATTGGATGGGGATCTTCTCTTCGAATGTTGATACATAGATTTGGGGAATAAAACATGATGATGTTGGGGATTTGAGATTGGATAGGGAGCTAAATCGAATGTGGATCAAATAATAAAAGGATTTGGGTTTCGAAACGATGATTTTGTTGGAAATTTCAGATTTGATAGGCAGCTTATGATCGAACTTCGAACTTAGAGGGGACCCTCCAAGACGAATGAGGGATCGTAGAAGGGAGACTGGAAATTGGTTAGGGCGGCGGGTCGTATCCATAGGGTTTAACCTCTTAATCGATATAATTAAACCGGGTACAGTTAGGTTGAAGTCCAATGAAAAAAGCATAAACGCTTCGTGATGCTTTTGGTAATTTTTCTTGCCCCCGGTTACCCGTACCCCGGATTTTGCCCTGGGCACCCTAGAACTGCCCATCTTTATACTTAATAAAAAATTAGAGTGGTTATTAAATACTTTGTTGATAAATATATTTAATATAATAAATAAATAAATAAAATAAAGAGAAAAGGTAGGAGAAAAAAAATCTCATTAATCAAGATATAAAATTTCTCTGATTATGAGAGATTTGATATCCGTAGATTTTAGAGATTTGAAATCTCTAAAACTAAAATTCACAATAAAAAAAACATAACTTTCTACAAAATTAACGAATTCAGGCCCTAAATCATGTTCTCCAAACGACCTCTAAAAGTAATATTTTTGCGTAATACTATCAATTATTCGATCGAATCCACTTAAATTAACGCATATTGCCTATTTTTTCACGCACTATCTATTTGTATTTTTCTACGCACTGGTACAGATTAATGATAGTGTGTGAAAGAGTAGGTCACATGCAAAAATATAAGTAAATTTATGTGAATAACTGTTAAAATGAGTGAAAATTGTAATTTTGGTGCGTCGACGATAGAATGTGTAACAAATTTCTATCCTTTTCATAAATAAATAACTTTTTGGCGTACGGTTACTGAACACGTGACCGTCTCTAATAGTCTTGTAGCCATGCAGACGCTAGTTTTATGAGAAATGAATTTTTAAAACCTTCACACTGACGTCTATATAAACCCTTAGCCTGCTAGCTGTTCCAGGCCATCAATCAACGACTGTGAAGTAAAAGTCTGAAATAGGAAAGCCGGCAAGAATTATGAGGCGCTCCTCCGCCGTAACCATCTTGGTCGTGTTGGCACTCGCCGCCGCCTCCACCTCCTCCGCTCAGTTGAGAATATCATCATCCGGCGACCACGACCACTATGTCCACGTGCTCGACGAGCTTACTGGCGGGAAGGCGTTGGAGGTCCACTGCTGGTCAAAGGAGGAGGACCTCGGGACCCACAACTTGACGGTGGGATCCGAATTCACATGGAAGATCTTGTTCTCTAAAATCTCTCTCGAGTTTCCCCAGTACTGGTGCGACCTGGCCGCCGACGACGACCGCAAGGCCTCTTTCCCGGCGTTCGATCAAGAACATTACAGAGTTTGGGAGTTCCAGTATCACACCCACTTGGTGGCCCAAGACGACGGCATTTATTTGAGGCACCCCGACGCGGAAATGCACGGAATCCTCTTCCATTGGCAGCATGGAAGCCGTATAGCTAGCCCAAATCTGTGATGTGAAATTTGTTTTTCATCAGAATAATTTGTTCATCTGATAATTAATGAAGCTTTAATTTACTTCACTCTCGCCTATAAGCGTTATCTATTATCTCGTACAGTCGTATTTAAATTTGATTGTGAAAGTTAAATTAAAGTTTACAAAAAAATATATATTAGTAAATCGAAATTATTCAACCACACAATTACATCATAAATAATAAATCTCAAACAAAATTAATACAAAACTCTAAACCCCTAACTCTCAACTCAATCTACTAAAAAAACACAAATAAATAAACTGGTTAAAGATCTTGAAACTAATATCTACCCTTTCAAATAACTACTTAAACTAATTCTCCCCCCATATACCACACATTACATCCTATTCCTAAGCAACAACCCTCAAACAAAAGTAATAATTGACCTCAATCTCTTAATTCTCAACTTAATCCCACTAATCCTTAAACATTATGCAAATTTGTAGACCCCATACTCACAATAAGCCTCAAACAAAATTAATAATTAACCTCAATCTCTTAATTCTCAACTTAATACCATTAGAGCTTACAAATAACACCGTAAACTCAAAACTCCGAACCACTTCAACAAACCTAAAATGAGATATGGTTATGTTTTTATTTATTAATCCACACACCTACCCATGAAGTTAAAAATTTCCCATTAGAAATCATTTTACAACTGATCATTTTGACAATGAAACAATACCTAACTATCGAAACTAAAACTATAACCGGTAACATTGCATGAAAATGTGATTTTTATAGGTGAATAATGGGAAATTTTCAACTCATTTCAGACTAACTCTGAAAAATCAGGGTGCATGATGGCCTCTCTCATAATTAAGATTTTTTGTCCTTATTTGAAGCTGCCAATTCTGCATGGACTTCTACTTTTTGGCTTTTTCAGTTGCCCTTCCATTTGTCAGCACGAGTCAAAACCCAAAAAACACATAACGACAAAATCAAAATACACGGCACTGACGGCACGGCACTGCAGTTTCGTAATTTAATAGATATCAGCTGCATGCGCGCCAACTCATGCACATCATTAGTGCACTGGTAAGAATAAGATAGAACAAATGCACCCGTTTGTAAAAACCGTAATGAGTCTTCTTGAAGTAATGAAGTTCCAATCTTAAGTTGTGGCTTCAAAAGAATTTCTAAAGTTAAGTGAAGCGGACGGACCAATTTGCGGGTTTTCGAGTGTTTGGTAATTTATACTTTTTTACTGATAAAGTTAACATAAAATTTTTGAATTTGGTGTGCGAAGATATTTTTCAGGTGGTGATGTAGGTTAAATCGTATTGCAGAGGATATATAGTTTTGTTGATCATAGATAATAAGAGCTTCGCGCCTTTTAATTTGAAAATGACGTGCTAAATTAATTACTGACGTTGAGATTCAGTAATAAATGTACCGAATTGACAAATTCATTGATAGTATACGGAAGTTGCATTTCCGTTAAATTTTATGCGAAATGATTGATTTTTCACATGGTGACGTTGGCAAATCTATCTGCATAGAGTTTGGGCAGTTTGGTTAAGACACGTGACAACTTCAGTTTTAGTAAATTTTAAGTTGACGTTGACCCGCCAAACTAATTATTAAGGTTCTGATTTGGACTAACCAATTTATCCAATTTAGCACTTGACTGCTAAGTCATGAGCGATTTTAGGTAGATGGTGACGTACCCAAATCGATTTGCAGAGCTTTCACAGTTGATCGATGATGATGTATAAAAGCTATTCTTTAATTTGAAGTTTACTCACCATATTAGTCAACTAACTATTTTGTCTTACCAAAAAAAAAAACTAACTAATTTGGATCTGACAACGCGAACTAACTAATTTACCGAATTCAAGACTTCATTGAGTGTTATGCTTTCTGTTATAGCTCTCTTTCAAATTTGTCGCGAAACAACTTCTTCGGATGGTGACCTATACAAATCAGCATTTAGCGATCAAAGCGCACGAATAGAAGGAAATCCGCTTTCTATATTCTCTGATTATTCATATATAGAAGAGACTGGACATGTTTTGGCAAAGGAAGAATATCGAACTTGGCTTTCTCGATCTGTTTCTCATAAATAACAATAGGGGTGTTCAAATGGTTACCATGGTTATGACCAAACCAAATAAGGCTAAATTCCATTAACCATGGAATACAATATTATAACCAAACCGTCCAAACTAATACAACAACCAAATTAACCAAACTAAAGTTTAATCGGTTTGGTTAATTGGTTAACCAGATTAACCAATATAAAATCACATTATCATTGACGATGAAAATTTTCCGGTTAATGCAACAATTCGCAATTTATATAATGAATAAAACACAACAATCAACACATAGTTATAGTTGACCCTTTACAAAAATACATGCAATTAAGACAATTATCGTACGATTAGTATACACTACAAAAAAAAGAGGCTTTAACGATGGGTAAAAACGGTCGTTAATTGTCCAAAAACGGTCGGGAAAAGTCATTGACGACGGGATTGGACCCCTCATTATAGGCTTCGCCGGTAAAAGTCAATAACGACGGTAAAATCCTATCCGGTCGTTAAAAGCTTTACCGAGGGTAATATCTTCCGGTCGTTGAATATTAATTTTCACCAACTAGATAATAAGCATTGACGACAGGATTACCCTCACTAATACGTTATCAAATATGTGAATTCTCATCGTTATTGACACTAAAAGTAACCCAACTTCTATGATTATTGATTTTCATGGAAAGATACAATCTGCGAAAAATATCATACCAACTGCTACTATTAATATTCACCATTGAAATCTTATATCACTAAAGAGTATATAATTGTCAAGGATTACAACATGTTTATGTGCTTATGCTTTAATAAAATAGAAGGAAACGTAATCTAAACTCATAACATATACAAGACATACATAAATATACTAAAATATAAAAGATATATATACTATATTAGCATTCTAAGTGGTATAACAATAACATCTTTTTTTCAGCTTCTTGAAACACTCTGCTTTGATCCCTTTGTCCTTCCCGATCTCATTCCAAGTCCTTGCTGGAGCAATAAAAATAGTCATGATATACAGTAACTTGTTAATGGTGATGATAGAGATGTATCAAGGTTAAAAGTAAATTTATGGAAATGTACAACCAAAGAAAACAAAGGTCAAAGAGTAAATATATAAACTAATTTCTCTTAAGAGTTTACCTACTCAAAGCTTCAAGAACTGTGAAAATAAGGAATTAGACCTTCACTTTCTATGGATTACTAGCAATCAAAACACTTGAACTTAGTTAACCTGCCAAAAAAAAAAACACAACAATTACTCTGTTTCAAACAACCAATGACAATAGACACTAAACCAAAAGACCATGCTACTTCAATTTCTACAAACATCGAAATCAAACAAGAAAAGGATAGACCAGTCTTATTTGCCAAGAATTCCCGGCTTAGAGAAGTAGCCCAAGAAGAAACTGTACATCCATAATTCACAGTAGCAACTTCCAGTTGTGCATTTACAACCCTTTCTAAACTCTATTGGTCTAGAACCATGGATAACATAACAGTCAAGAAAATAACAAGCAGCATAGTAATTCAACAAAATTAAAACACTCACACAGAATGGCCAACCAAAAGGGTATATAGTATATAATGCCACCAGCCCCGGTTGGAACTACTAAGAAATGATGACCTGTATTGAAACTAGTAACAAATGCAATATGTGTTTGTAAGTAAAGTGGACAATTAACCTAATAACAGAACACATGATTAGATGTAATAAGCAAACAATGCCAACTTTGCTTCATGAACTAAATTGTTGAAATATGCAACCAGCATGGCTCAAATTCCCTTTTCTGTTAGACAGTTAGGATTCTTTAGTCCAGCAGCATGGCAATGGGAGCTAACTCAGGGGAAGATAAATGAAATGAAATGAAATGGAACAATCATCAAAGAACAGCTTAACCATATCATCCAAGAATCTCTACAAAACTAAACTTCAATTTAATCATGCTTAATCATCTCAAATATTGTCAATACCTTACCCCCAAACTCACTAGAATGAACTCGATAGCCCCTGTTTTTGTCTGATCCTTTCGTCTGCGATTGGGAAGTGGGAATCGGTAGCTGCTCCTGAATTTTGGCTCATGCAAAACAAACACAGTGAAAACCCAACAAAAAGAAATTAGATAGAAACATAATAGACCACAATAAACAACGAGCGAATAGAGTCATAGATTCGGATGGGAAACCAATAATTTACGAGGTTTGAACCGGTAGCATTCGATTCCAGATCTTACTTTGGGGTGCTAGCTCTGTACTCTTCGACCCAAGAGAACTAAACCACACGGAAGCGAACAGAGCATAACTGAATATGATATAAACAAAGAACATACAGCTCCAATTTGAAAATACAACATCCACCAAATCAACCCTAACAGAATAAACTAGACAACTTGAACAGGGCACCATACACAAGGAGATATTTCTCATGTATAACAAAGTTAAAGCAAGAGCAAGAGGCAAAGACAGGAGGCTTAACATGCATTGTACATCAAATTAGGTAAAACATATGGGGAACGAAAAAGGAAAGCATCGGCCAAAAGATAAAAAAAAACAAGTAGTGAAGAATTTGGGGCAACACAGAGGAAAAACATCCACCAAAAATCTGCAAAAGAAGGGGTTAGAGCAAGCAAAACTGAAATGAAAATGGAAAGGAAAACTTCAGCGAGCTCGTGACCGCAGGACAGAAGAAGCTGGGGATAGCTAGAACCACCGGAAGGAGGAAGTGATGAGCAGAGGTAGCAGTGGTAGAAGAGAGCTTTTGCTGGGGTTGAGTTCTCTTAAGGAGATGAGGCACTGGAGGTGGAGCCGCAGGAGAAGCGGCGACCCACGACATGCAGACAAATCTGAAGAATCGCGAGGGACACCTTCTTGGCAGGCGGCTGCAAATCATCGACGTTGGCGGCTGGATTTAGCGAAGGATTGATGGGGGATTGGCTTTGGAAAACCTAGATCGACGCTGTTGAAGTCCATTTGGGCATTCGCCTGAATCAATTTCTTGCGGCAAGGTGAGATAGAGGGAAGATTAGGTCGAGAGAAAGACCAAATAGGGGTGAATGTTTCATTCGGAGAAAAGGAGGATGGATCTAGGTGCGGTGCGCCTTTTCCTAAGATTTAGAAAGTGACCCAGCAAATCCCGCGAAACCGAAAAAATTGGGCGGACTTTCTAAAATTTTCGCCAAAGCCAATAACGAGGGGTGTTTGAGGCCAAAAACGACCGGAAATAAAAACCCCTTCGTAGTAAGATAGTTGGAATCAAAATCGCCATCTGACGACCGTTTCTGTACCCCTCGCCACATTTTCCTCTCGTTGGAAGCCTTTTCTTTTGTAGTGATAGAAGTATTCACCTAGCAAAAATTTATGACAATGCTATGGGTTAATGAATTGTTGTGTTTGTGTAAATTGACTTAGTCTCTTAGCAATTATCATAGGCTGGAAATAACCTTCTTTTCAAGTTTTTATCCATCATAATGTATGAAATTTATCTAAATTAGGCATCCATATGTTGTGGTCTACATTTTACATATACAAATATACACTATATGAGCAATATTGAGCTTTATATTTTATGAGTCTAAAAGGGATGAACATTAACTCTTGAGTGATTATGCAAAGTATTAAGTATGTGTATATAATATATGTTAGATATATGACTAATTACTTTACTGGTTAATTTGGTTTGACTGGTTAGGAGTGTCTGAAACCAAACCAAACCACCTAAACCAAACAAGCTAAAAACTTTAACCAAACCAAACCAATTATCCAAATTAACCAAACCAAATTATCCAAATAGTACTGGTTAAAACGGTTACCATGGTAACCAAACCGTTTGAACACCCCTAAATAACAAACATGGTACCAAAATGTGTCGTTACTTTAAATGAATGATACAAATATTAAATTTACACATGTCCGCCATGCCATCAATCAATAATAATTTATATGTAACGCTTTTTAGCTTTCTTTTTTCTTTACTTCCCCTCCCCCTGTGTGGAAAAATGGTGAAAAGCTTTGTCCATTACACAGCCTCTTAGTTTGCCGGCAGCTGAGTTCACCGCAGCAACGAGAGATTAGAACGCTGGTATCCTTTGAAAGAGCCGATCCCGTTCTCGTTCCGTTCCCCATAAACCGGATTCTGGAAGCTTCTTCCATCTTCTCCCTGCTTCAGAGCACGCGCGCAAGATTTCCGACCGTCAAATCAGCACTCTGTATGTCTCGCCCACTCTTCGTATGTTACTCCAAGATTTTGATCCTTAGCCTGTACGTAACCTCTGGTGGAAGTTCATCCAACGTTTATATCGTCGCTCGTGGCGATAACGAAATTTGCTCTGAATCATTTCGTTTGTTTGTGTTCTCTGCTAGCTAGCAAATTGAACTTGGTTTTCAGAACTCGGGATGCCTAAAGCGCAGGGGAAAGGAGGAGGAAGACGACGGCGGGTAGTCAAAGGAACCAGCCGCGACAGATTGAGCGATTTGCCCGACGAAGTTCTCCATTGCATCCTCTCCTTCCTTGACACCAAGTCGGCCGCTCGAAGCGGCATTTTGTCGATCAGGTGGAGATCACTCTGGAGAACGGTTCCCATCCTGAATTTCGACGGGGAATCCTTCAACAACAACGTGGAGAGTTTCAAAGATTACGTGAACAGACTCTTGTTTCTCCGTTTCTGCACCTCGCATGGGGTTCGACAGGTATCGCTCCTCAATTGCCCTGGATTTGGGGAGAGATCCGACGTGTTCGCGTCTCTTTTCTGGTCCATCTCCCTTTGCAATCAATCGCTGGAGACTCTGAATTTGAGAGCAGTGCGGCTTCATACGCTCACATTAGGGTTGCCCGCGCCGGCTTTTCAAGTTCTCACATCTCTGACTCTGCGCGACTGCAGCTTCCAAGTCTCTAGGTTGTACCAGCAGTCGGTCGACCCTTTTGCTGGATTCCCCGTGTTGAAAACTTTGAGGCTCATCTCCTGCAGCCGCTTTCTTGATGATAATGATAATCCGGCTGAGGTTAAGAAGAGTCTGAAAGTATCGGGGCTTGAGCTGCTTAGTTTGGAGATTCATGACCCCTTCGGTTTCGATGATATCAGGGTTTCTGCTCCGAAACTCGAATCGTTTACTTACAGAGATGTAATTCGCGACATCTCTCCAGTGACAGAAGTATCCTTGGATGTGCCTTCTTTGCAGCAGGCCAGTATCTTGTTGTGGGGTTATATGGGTTTGCAATTGCATGATGGCCATGACAAGCAATATGCGAACCTGTTGGCTGGTCTCAGTAATGCGCAAACTCTCATCCTCCAGTTCGATACACTTGAGGTAATTAAGAACCTGTAATGTGTACAAATCCTACTCTTAGTACTTTGTTATACTTGCTTTGTTTATGGTGGTCTATTTTGATGCACGTCTTTAGGCGTTGATCCATGCTTGTGACTTGGTGAAGCATCAGCCGTCTCCATTTACAAGACTCAAGTCCTTGAGCTTGCTCTATTCCGAAGAAACAGTTGGCGTACCTTGCTATGTGATGCGTTTCTTTTGTGATGGCTCTCCTTTCATGGATGAAAATTCTCTGAAGCTAACCAAGGTGAGATGATGAACCATGCATGATGTGTTAATTGGTGTGAATTGAATTCCTTATGATTTGATTTGATTTCATTAATGCAGGTCACTGCTTCATCATTCTCGTACAATATGCAAGTTTAAACATTGATGGTGAACTTCTGCAGTTTCTAAGAAGGTGGAGGCTCAAGAAAGTTCTTAAATTCAACTTGTTGATTGGGGGGGTTGTGGGATATGTTGTTAAGCTTAGTTCCGGGAACTCTATAAAATAATTACTAAGGTTGTGACGTAGACTATCTAATTTACCTAATGTAGTGCATGACTAATAAATGACGAGCATTTCTTATTCGTTATAGTTACTATTTGAATATGGCGCGAAAGTAATTTTTAGATGGTTGGTGACATATGCAAATTGATTAGTAGAGCTATGACAGTTTGATCGATGATGACGTAGGCAAACTGATTTGCAGAGCTGTGACAATTTGATCGATGATAAAAGACTTCTCTTTTAGTGAAGTTATTTGGAGTTTACTAGAGATATTAATTAACTAACTATTTTGGATTTGACAGAAAGTATTAATTTTCCACGTGGTTACATAACCAAAGTAACATGGACTAACTAATTTATCGAGTTCGGGACTTTATTGATGACACATGAGTGTTTTTTTTTTTCCGTTATAGCTTTATTTTGATTTTGGGGCGAAAGGATTCTTCAATTACAAAAAAAGGGCTTTTCAGGTCTTGACAAATGCAAATAAATTAGCAGACTGCTGCAAATTTGATGGATGACACGTAAGAACTTCTGTTTTAGTGAAGTTACTTTGAAATGCGCCAGACTAATTAACTATTTTATCGAGTTCAAGTGCTCATTCATAATACATGAAATTTTCCTTTTCCATTATAGATTGGTATGAAATCTAATGCTTAAAGACTTCAATGACGATGGATAGAGGTGGCAATTGGATTGAATCAATGGATTGGTGTATCCATGGATCAAGTGGGTTGGATCAAATGGATTGATGTATTTATGGATTAGATCAAGTGGATTGGTGGATCTATCTATGAATCCAAATGACATCTAAATCTTCGATCAATATGTAAATTTTAAAAAGTTGGGTACTAAAATGGCATAATAAAAGAATTAGGTACCAAAAACATAATTTTCCAATCAGATTTATTTTATTAAAAATTAATTTTTGGGTACCATAATGTGAAATATGAAAAATATAAGTAATACACTGTAATTTGTCATTTGGACTCATGGATCAATCCATGAATCCACCAATCTAATTGGATTTGGATAAAATGGATTGGATTAGTTGGATATTTTATTGGATGGATTGGATTGAAAATTGTCACCTCTAATTAGGGGTGGCTATACTGTTCGGGCCGGTTTAACTGACTCGGTCTTAATCCGATCTTTTTGGAAAAATAGTGATCAAAGACTATATTGGATACAATCCGGTTTTGACACAGTACGAATTTGATCCGGTCCGGTCCCAATCTGGTTTTGCCCGATCTGTCACTGCTGTTGAAAGGGAGGACGGGCGACGAGGGGTGGCAGCGGGAGGTGTGGACCGACGGGGAGGCGACATTAGTGTGGACCGACAACGACGAGCTGGCCACCTGGGACAGATGGAATCTATCTTCTCTATTCTCTCTGATCTCGTGCCGACGACTTAAAGGGAGGACGAACGGAAGCAGAAGACAGTGGTGCTTGGGCACACGAAAGGTGGTGACCGGCGCTTGAGCTCTGGAACTGGAAGGAAGAAGAAGGAAGGTCCTTCCTAGTGAAGTTTGGAAAACAATCTTCTCCATGGAATCTAAACAGGCTCTGGGATCTTATGGTTTCACGGGGAAGTTTTTCAAAGTTTTCTGGGATATTGTCGACAATTCTGTAATTGAAGCTATCTACTCGTTCTTTACCATGGACAGGATACTCTGTAGCTTTAATCATACTTGGTTAACACTCATCCTGAAAGTAGACAATGTCGAGGATATGAGGCAAATCATGCCAATTAGCTTATGCCATTTTGTGTACGAAATTATAACTAAAATCATGGTTGAAAGGCTAGCCTGCCTCTTACCATAGATCATTTCGGAAGGTCAAAATGCATTCATCCATGAATGGAAAATAGTGGAGAATGTCCTTCTAGGGCATGAATTAATGCACTACTTGAAAATATGGGTTTTAACTCTATCTGGAGAGGGTGGATACATCAATGCCTCCGATCAACATCATTTTTTGTCCTTATGAATGGCACTCCTTCAGGATTCTTCACACCATCAAGGGGACTTCGACATGGTGATCTGCTTTCTTCGCTCCTGTTTGTAATTTGCATGGAGGGGTTTGTGGCTCTACTCCGAAAGGTTATTTCTAAAGGGAAACTAGAAGGGGTTAAAGTTGCCCCGAGAGCTCCTCGGATATCGCATGTTTTTTTTTTTGTGCAAATGACCCTTATTTATTCCGCAAAGGATCTTTACAAGAATGTGAGAATTTGATCGAGGTTTTAAATGACTATGAGGAACTTAGTGGGCAAGATTTCCTAGCTCGGATTCTGGGTGTCGGGCCTGTGGGAGTCCAAAATAAATATATGGGGTTGCCTACTATGATAGCCCAATCGAAAATGGTTATGTTCCGGTATCTGGAGGAAAAATTCCTCAGTCGAATTCAGGGTGGAAGCAAAGGAATCCGTCTTGGGCAGCTAAGGAGACTTTGATTAAATCAATCGCTTTATCTTTACCATTGCATGTTATGTTTTGCTATCAGTTACCTCTCTCTCTCTTTGTCGCCTATTGGACAAACAAGTTGCCAGGTTCTTATGGGGTGTGGAAGAAGGTCGATCGAAGATTCGATGGATGTCCTGGTGAAATATGTGAAGGAGTAAACACGATGGGGGCATGGGGTTTTGCCGATTTGAGCATTTTAACCAGACCCTTTTAGGCAAGATTGGCTATCGCATGATCAACGAACCCAACTCCCTTATGGCCTAGGTTTATAAAGGGAAATATTTTCCAACTAGGTCCTTCATCAGTTCTATTGTGCGCTCTCGCCCGTCTTGGGGGTGGAAGTCTATCCTTTATGGTCGGCAACTGTTAGTACAGAGGCTATGATTGCAGATTGATAATGGGCAGACAACTTCTCTGCTCCATACCAATTGGATTCCATGGCTACATCCACTTACCCCCTACGTATAACCCCCAGGTGTTGGCAGATGGTGGAGACCTGATGGTAGCGGAGGTTCTTTGCCAAGGGGAAGGGCGATGGTGTGATCTAAAACTTAGCTAGTGGTTTGACCCGCTAACTTGTCGTGCTATCAAAGCAACCCCTCTTTCTTTGTAGGATGTTGAGGATCGATTAGTCTGGCATGACACGTCTGATGGAATTTTCACTATTAAATCGACACACTATTTTGTTATTCTATTAGATAAAAAGGGCGGTCGATGGCGAATTTTTTTATGTCCCCTGCTCATGTATTACGTCTGGCCATAACATTGCTCAGCAGTCTAAATACATGACTTCAGGTCTGGCGTGGTCGGGTCCACCTCCTTTTCCAGTGGTTTTTTTACTACAATTTTGTATGCTTGGTTGAGCACTGTGAGACGTTGGCTCTTTGATGAATAAAATTGGCGAAGTTACTCCTTTTCGAGAATATTCAACCGTCTCCTTCCAACAACGGAAGACCTAATCGAAAAGGACGTCCATGTTTAATTATCTCAGGTGTTCGGTTTGTTGGGCGGAATCGAAAACAATGGAGCACTTGTTTCTTGATTGCCTAGTGGCCAGGGTTTGTGTGATTATTCGGGACTTGAATATCTTGGGCAAGGGTTGCCTCGTCACACTTTCCCTCTCTTACTAAAAAATTTGGTGTTGCTCATACATCAACCTCAGCTGTGTAGGCCGGTTATTGCGGTCCTTTGAATGTAACTCATTCTTAGTTGCCTCATCCTTTGTTCAACCTAATTCGGTTGTCTAACAGTGGGATGAGGGAACTAAGAATAAGTCACATTCAACAGGAGGGATGATTATCCTGAACCAAGATGGGAAGGTCCTCTTGGATAAAGGGGTACAGTTTATGGGGATTGATGATCCTTTGGTCGCTGAGATGCTCGTCCTCAGGGAGGCTATTATCTGGTGTCTGGAGAACGGGTTTACGAAGATGAGATTTGAAGGTGATGCGAAAGTGGTCATTGATAAAATTAATTGGGCGGATACCAGGGATAGTCGGATTGGAGCCCTTCTTGAGGAGGTCGTGCATTATTTCGCGATTCATAGTGGGTTTAGTGGGCGATTTGTAGGTCGGCTTAGTAATAGGGTAGCCCACTTGGTGTCTAGAAAGACCCTTCAATTGTATCCGACTACCAGTCGCTTCTTTGATTTTATGACCTGGTTGAATTCCAGGATGTAATTCTCTGATCAATATATATTATTATCTTTTCTAAAAAAAGGAACACAATCAAATCAAACACAAAAACTATTAATTAATTATATTTAACTAAAAAGAAAATTGTATCTATTTACAAAATAAGTTGATTTATAAATTATATATTATCTATGTTCATATACGTTAAAGGAAATTCTTAAACTTCATTATTTAAGGAACTGATTCTACCCATCTTGTAATGTTGGGTCCGAAGTCCGGACCTCTTCAATAACTTACCTACACATAACCATTCGTAAGTCCATCTACCATTTATGGAAGATAATTAACTTTCTTTTCAAATTAATTTAACATATTATCTCTTTTGTTTTATGTTTGTAATTAAAAATATATATTACCATAAAAATAATGGTAAATACAATATATTAGCCACAACTATTATGAAGCAGGAAATTATAGCCACAACTATATAAATTCAAATTATTAGTCATAATTATTGTTGCGGGTCAAGATATGACTAACTATCTGTTACTATTATTGATTTTTTAACGGAAAATGTCACGTCATCGGCCACGGCAGCAACCACGTCGGGCTGCTTTTAATTTATAACTTTAAAACATAAAACTTTAGTCAACATTACTAATGAAATTGT